CCCCCCCTTCGCCCCCCAGTAGAATTTGTAAGTAACTCTGATTCATAGGATCAGAAAAATTGTGAAGAATGAACTTTTTCATGTTCCTGTTTGTTCTGGAAGAAACAAAAGGTCGTCACTGTAAAAGACAGGTGGATAGAAGCAGAAGTTAAAGCTGAAGAATCACAGAATCACAGAATCGTAGGGGTTGGAAGGGACCTCCAGAGATCATCGAGTCCAACCCCCCTGCCAAAGCAGGTTCCCTACACCAGGTCACACAAGAAGGCATCCAGGCGGGTCTTGAATATCTCCAGAGAAGGAGACTCCACAACCTCCCTGGGCAGCCTGTTCCAGTGCTCCGTCACCCTCACCATAAAGAAGTTCTTGCGCACATTTGTGTGGAACTTCCTATGCTCCAGTTTCTGGCTGTTTCCCCTTGTCCTGTCTCCGCACACTGCTGAAAAGAGTCTGGCCTCACCATTTTGCCCCCCACACCTTAGATATTTATTGACCTGGATCAGGTCCCCTATCAGTCTTCTCTTCTCAAGGCTAAACAGACCCAGTTCACTCAGCCTTTCTTCACAGGGGAGATGCCCCAGGCCCTTCCCATCTTTGTGGCTCTCCTCTGGACTCTTTCCAAGAGATCCCTGTCTTTTTTGTCCTGGGGAGCCCAGAACTGGACACGGTACTCCTGATTAGGCCTTACCAGGGCAGAGTAGAGGGAGAGGATCACCTCCCTCGACCTGCTGGCCACGTTCTTTTTAATGCACCCCAGAATGCCATTGGCCTTTTTGGCCACAAGGGCACACTGCTGGCTCATGGCCAACCTGTCGTCCACCAGGACACCCAGGTCCCTCTCCGCAGAGCTCCCCTCCAGCAGGTCATCCCCCACCCTGTACCAGTGCATGCAATTATTCCTCCCTAGCTGCAAGACTCTACACTTGCTTTTGTTAAACCTCATCTGGTTTCTTACTGCCCAGCTCTCCAGCCTGTCCAGGTCTCGCTAAATGGCAGCACAGCCTTCGGGTGTGTCAGCTAATCCTCCCAACTTCGTATCATCAGCAAACCTGCTGAGGGTGGCCACTATCCCCTCATCAAGGTCATTGATGAAGATGTTGAACAAGACCGGACCCAGCACCGACCCCTGGGGAACACCGCTGGTTACAGGTCTCCAACCGGACTCTGCACCACCAACGACAACCCTCTGCGCTCTGCCAGTCAGCCAGTTCTCAACCCACCTCACTGTCCACTCATCTATCCCGCACTTCCTCAGCTTCGTTATAAGGATGTCATGGGAGACAGTGTCAAATGCCTTGCTGAAATCAAGGTACACTACATCCACTGCTCTCCCCCCATCCACCCAGCCAGTGATAACATCATAGAAAGGTACCAGGTTGGTCAAGCATCACCTCCCCCTGGTGAATCTGTGCTGACTACTCCTGATAACCTCCTTTTCTTCCAGAAGAAATGTGCTAGCCAAATGTTCGAAAAGTTTTAGAGACAAAAATGAACTTGTGTTTAATATGCAAAACTTACTTAGTGTATTTCATTAAATTAATTATATTTATCTCAGACAATAATCTACTCCTGAGCAAAGCTTAGCACAGGAACTTCAACCTCACTACTGACTTAGGCACTGCTGAAATCTAAAAAAACCCCACACAAATGAAGACCCAAAAATCTAAAATGCACCCAACAGCTCTCCAAGTTTTAGGCATCAATCACAAGAAGATCTAATTCTGCTGTGTGAAGAAACGCTTTTTTCAGCTGTGTAAATTCTTGCCCCACACATACACTGACACAGATGAGCTTCATGAACGTATGCAACTCTCATTTCATTAACATTGCATCCTTTAACAAAGCCTAATTTTGTTCTGTTTTTAAATTATCAGCAGGCAAGACAGAGAACAAAATCTTATCTCACAGGATTTCCTTTCAAGAGAGAAAGGAATATCCCCTGTAACAGTAACTCAAATCTTTTGGTAATACTGAGACTATAAACAATGTCATGTTAGGATAATTTTCTACTATTATCGGTATTGATCTTATTCCAAGGCATATAAAAAACAGATTTCCAGCCAATGAAACTTCAAATAATGAAAATAAACAGGTGTCACACAGATGGTTTCTTTTACTGCAATGCGTTTTTTAGCTTGACGATTAATATACTCTGAAAACGAACTGTACAAGGAAACACAAATAAACTTTTAAAATTTTATTACAATAATTTGTAAAGCTGAATCTATTCCAGTTTGAAAAATATACCAATACAACGTGCTAAAATGAGGTCATGCAGTCAGTAGTAAAGCATTAAAAAAATTTCCAATGAAGAAGCAATATCGCTGTTAACTAGGTTAACGAAAACTTTGGCTCACCTGCAGGCAGCTTCTTGTACTCTCTTGTTGCTATCCAGGATACGCTGTAGCAACTCAGTCATTAATGGCTTCAAGTATGTGTCTGGGGGTTGACTAACTACCCAGTGTGCATAGCGACTAAGAGTCCAGCATGTAATGGAGCGCACAAGAGCCTTTTTGTCAGAGAGGCACTGAATAAGGTGAGGGATCAGCTCAGGAAGATATGGAATCATACCCTGCATGCAGCCTGTGAGGAAAACAATAACAACAACAACAAACAAACCACAACAAAAAACAGTTACTTCAGTACCAGAATTAATGAGAAGTAATACTTCCTAGAAAGGCTATTATCATTCTCTATCGCATAATAATACATTTTAACAATATGCAAAGCAAGTCTATCTAATTTGTGTTAAATTATAAGAGAAACCTTATCATAAACAACAGTTAAACCTTCCCAATTAAATTTATATTCGACTGTACTTCTGCTTCAGTGCTTCCCCAATCTCCAGAAATTCTGCTTTATTACATGGAGTAAAGCAAGTACATAAAATGAGTTTATAAAGCTTCAGTGTTCTAAGTCAGGCTGCTCAAGAGTGACCAAAACAACAAGTACAGAAAGATTCAACTTTGATAACAAATAATCACATCATTAAAAAGGATATTTTTTCAGCAATTTAATTTCCTTCTTCTGATCAGCAATAGCTGACCTTTCATGCCATCAAGAAGAACAATACATTATTAAGTTCTACCAGAAGTACTAACTTTCACCTTGCTTAAACTGGAATCAAAGCCAACAAAAAAGTTTTTCAGCAACAAAGAAAATGTACTCAGTAGGCACTATGGGAAAAACAAAGATAATGCAGGCAGACACGGATCCAAACATATTTCTTCCATCTGCCAAAAAGACAAAGATGCTGGAAACACAGACAAAAGGCCAAAAAGCCTATAAGTACAGAAGAAATTAAGTTATCACATGTGAAACATATAATGATCCACTAAAAGTGGCTCAGGGCACTGAAGTCAGAAGAGTGATCTTTTCTGTTTCTGAAAACAACAAATAAAATGTAAGGACTGAGTTTATTAAAATTATTTTTAGTTGTATTAAATCAAATTGGTACCTAATTAGTGACAAATAAATATACAGTGAAGAGTTAAGAAAGTGGGAGTAAAAGAAAACTTAAGTTGTTCAGTCTTCCAAATTTAGAAAATTTAAATAACACCAGTCACCAACAAGTAGATGTAGAGATTAATCACTGAAACTAGATCAGTGAAAGGCACTTACTTGCTTGCACAAGTAAACGTGCCTAGAAGGAATCACAGATCTGCCTCAGAGCCAGACAATAGATTTACTAAGTTGATATCCACTGCTGCCTTACCTTCAGCAATTGCTCCAAGAACAAGGATACCTGATTCCTTAACTACCCATTCGGGATGGAAGAGCAATTCCTTCAAAAGGGGTAAGATGTGTGGCAAAAGTTCATCACGAAATACATTGGCCAAAACGTCTAAAGCAGCAGCAGAACACTTCCCTGAGGGAAATTAACAGCATTAATCTCATTTGCTGTTAGCCAGTATAATTCTCATTTTAACTTTAAGCTGTCAGTGGAATGTCAGGGCATTATTACAAAAAAGAACACTTCAGTTTCATTACAATATATATTGCGGCCCTTCCCTCTGGTGTGAGGGTACAGCTTTTAGAAATCCAGTTTTGCAGCACTTAAATACCCACTAAAAACACATATACTGCAGCGAGACTAAAATGCTCACTGACAGAAACCACACCATCATACAGCAACATTCTATATACTACGTAATTTCAGGACCACATAACACTAAGGGAGCGAAAGGTCTGAGATTCAAATGTTACAACTGGAGAAACCAGAGAGAAAATGCCTAATAAATAAATAAATAACAGCATTTGATAAATATATATATATATGATCCATGTATCAAGGCAACCAACATCAATCCCTACAGAACAAAAGCAAACCTGCAAACCTCTGTTCTGAACTCTTGTAAAAAAAAAAAAAAAAAAAAAACAACTCCTGTACATTAATACAAATAAGAGTGCCTTGAACTAAGTATATAATCTCTTATTTATAGAAAAAAAGCTCACAAAAGAAAAATCAAGAATGTCTTAAAAATATGATTCAGAAGTTCTGTTGTTTCCACTGCAGTGTTGTCATACCTAGAAAAATAACACTAAAGCCATTTTATAAAGAATGGGTGTTTTATGAAATTTTTATTGCACTGTTTTGCTCATTATGATCTCAGTTCCTTACTAATCTGTCAGAAAAGTTCAAAAGGGAACAGAAGGTTTATAGAAGATAGGCAAAATATACAAAGCATATAGTAATATGTAAAAATCCTAACCTAGATCTAAGAGCTACCGGGCCCATATAGGACATAGATAAGTTTTATATGAGAGGTAATAACTACCAGAACAGAGAATAAATGTAAGACTTTCTGCTCTGCTTCTAGATGAAGTTCAAAATGTTTCCATGAAATAAAGGAATCTTCAACTTACAACAGATCTCAATTGCAAAGCAATAATTAACAGCACAAACTCCCAACAAAGATCTGCACTTCCACCCATCAGTTAAGACTTTCAGCTTTTACTAGGGAAGAAGGGACCCAAAATAACTGACTTTCTAGATTAAAAGAACACATATTTTATCAAATTAATCCACTAAACATTTCTATTGTCCCCTAAAAACATATTTCCTCATTTTACTAGTCAACATCTTCAGGTTCATAACTGAGAAATCAGCTCTTTGATAAGGAATAACCAGCTAGAGAATCTGTTCTTCCTCTTCAAGCAGTCAGGAGTAAAACCAACAAAGAGACAAGAGTAGCAGCTGTAAATTTATCTCATGTGGAGTATAGTCAGAAGACAAATGCTTCCCTGCTCCAGCAGCTCCTCATGGCTATGTCTGCTCTTGATGTCTCATGCATTCTATTCTGGTCAGAAGCAAATTTTTTACATATAAAAATAAATATTGGTAGTAACAATAATGCCATCTGAAATAACCTCCTGTCCACTCCACCCCCCAGGCCCCAAAATACAGTATCACCCCTGTTCTACCTACCCAAACCACTAATTACATCAGAATTTATTTTCCTCCTGCTCAAAAGCAAAGCCCCTGTATTTCCATACACAAAATCTTTTTACTGCAGTTCTCATATTGCACAATTAACTGTATTTTAACATGTATTTTATGCATCACTTTGACATACTTAAATTCCAGTCAGAAATAGCATCATCATCATCAATTTCATCATCATCATCATCACGATCTTCAATGCCATCTTCCTCATGTTTCTGAGCTACTGTTCGTGAACGATGAAAACGAGGTCTTATGTCCTGTTCGCTATCTGGAATAGCTTCATCTTCTTCAACATCCCCCTGTCATCAAAATGGTTTCATCAGTACAATTACATTATTCAGGGAAGTTAAAAATGCATGCTAAATTTCAGTTCAAGATTTTGTAGCCATATGAAAGATTCACACCTCACTAAAAATGCCATTGTTCCTGAATTCTCCTGCAGTATTTAACTGAAAAATTAAACTGAAAAACATACATGAGATAAACTCATGTAAAAGTACTAAGTATCTTTCTTATTAAGAGGCTGCAATTGAAAGGAATGAATTAGAAAGCACATAGACATACTCTAAAGCACTGGGATAGAAAAAGCTCTAATTCAACCTAGAAGGGTAATAGAACTGATGCTGAATTTTTCTTTTTTTTTTGTTTCCTTGCAGGAACGGGTCATGGGTAACAGTATCTCAACACCCAAACTGGATGAGGGCGGACAGAAGCAAAGCTGGAAAACACACTGATTATTTTCTAACAAACCCAGTAATTATAGTATTTAGAATTTGGAGCAGTCCCTACACCATCTTGCCCCTGAGATCTAATTCTCCACTGAATAGATGGTAGACCAGATTCAGCCTATCAATTGAATCATTCTGATTCATAACTCCGAAGTTAATCAGTATTTCTGTGGAACGAAAGAAATTGATGCTCACCTTCAGCAAAATAATATCTATCTCGGAATATTTCATACCATTCACCAGCACAGGTATCAGCCTACAAAGGGATATTGATATACATCAAAACAATGCTTTAATTTAAAAAAAAAAAAAAAAAAAAAAAAAAAGATTACCTGAGCCTTAATCTTGGTTGCAATTCTTCCCAAAAGAAACAGAAATCCAAAAACCTGGAAACCTCATACAAACTCAAGCTCCATTTCATGCTCATCAGTATTTATAATCTGAAATAGTGTTAACTTCACCTCACAAACTTTCTAACAAGTGGGCTTCTCACCTCACAGGACATTATTCTTTCATAAACTGAAACTGAACTTCTGAAAGTTGCTTTAAAGTAAACCTAAAGCAATTGAAAATTCCCATAATATGGTCTCGCCAGCAGTACTTGGGATTTTTACCTCTGTCTGTGAATCCTTCCTTGCTAAGCCTAGAAGATGGAAGACTACATTGAACCCTCTTAACATAGGTTAAAAAAAAACCAAAGCCAACCAAACCAAACATGTATGAAAAGCTAATACAAGCTTGTAATATTGCTTCAGCCCCAATGATCCACGTATGACCTGCAACTGAGAAGTATTCATTCTGAAGGTAATTAGAACAGTAGAATATTCATGCATCTCAATGGCATGTTACCTTCTGATATTTTAATGAAAGAGTAGTAAGCATTCTGATCAACACCAATTCACTGGCATTTCTACAGCATACTTCATGAAGTATGCACAAATTATGTATTTTATAAGAAAGTCTACAGGAAAAAAATGGAACAAGATATCATGTTTTATTAGATATATAAACAGATTTTTAACAGAGCTTTTCCCACCCTTACTTTAATATACTGCATTTTTTTGTGGGCTTTTTTTTTTTCCTTCTTCCTGAAATTAATTAATAGCATAGATCCACATTAAAATGGGAGTAATAAGAAAACTGCTTTCAACAAGCATGTTGAGATCATAAGAAATACATTGGTCAGTCTGAAAGTAATGCCTCCTATTTATTTCCATGGAAACTACAGGAGATGAAAAGAGTACAATAACACTATTTGATAGAGCAAATTCTCAGCTACAAAACACTTACTTTTTCAACATCCACCACTACCTATGCATTTTCACTAGTGATGACCAAGAGCATGCATGCTACACTCATAAAAATATGCCTCACTGTCACCCTTGCTGAAATGCACCACCCACCACCTCACTGTGCTCACATCCACTGTTTGGTGTCCTGAAACATTCAGCAGCATTAGTGAATGTCAGTGGGTGCCACTTTTTCCATGTCAGATGCCTTTTGTCAGACTGCCCCTTTGCTGTCATTTGTCTTATGGCAACAAAATGTAATGGAATATTGGGAAAGTTCAGCTCCTTACTGCCACACTACTAACATTTGGCTTCTGACACTGTGGGCCAGTACAATAAAATAGGAGGCATTATTTTCAGGCAGCCGTCATATACTAATAATTTCATCCATTTTTTTTCCAGAAATTTAGAAGATTCTTGAAGAAAAATAAAGCAAATATGTAGTATGAAGCTGCTGCAATGTTAGTGTTCATTTATGTCAGAAGAAATTTAATACTCGTCAACTTTTCAGTGTAAATATGACACATGGCAGAAAGGATGTGTGTAGAACTAGTAACTTCAATCACAGAATATTCAAAGTTCAAGAGACATACAAGGATCACTGAGTCCAGCTCCTTATTTGCTATCACTCTTTTTTGTCTGAGCTACAAAATAAGGAATTAAATAAAACCATTTTAACACTAAAAAGTCATTTATCATAATATTAGTTCTCCCGGTTTCAACTCCTATTTTTTTTTTTTTTTTATCTCTATGGTAGGTGCTTTAATCTCTTATGTCTCCAATTGCTTATGAAAATTATTATTATTACTTTTAATGGATTGCTTCCCATATAAATTCCACTATCTACTATCTTCCCGTCGCATCTTCACTAGAAGAACAAAAATCACAGATAGAACTATTGTAGTATTTTCAAAAATCTTCCATGTGTACACAGAAAAAGAATAAACCACAAAAAATCTCCATTTACTGGGAGCAGTGAAAAATTTGTTAATTATTAGAAATAAGGCTTTTCTAAGATTAGTCTAGAAAAAGTTACAAGACATGTAGACATGTAAATCTCAGACATGGATGTTCACCCTCCTTCAACTTAAATCTAAGTGCTCTTGAGTCACTTTGTTATGTCCTTTATACAAACAGACAACTGTTGGCATGACTATACATACAGAAGGATTGCACTGAGATCCCCAAACTCGCAGCTGTCAAAGCTACTTCTTGATGTGCACCATGGTACACTACATATTAAAGAAAATGTCATGTGGAATGTTTAACACACAACAGTGTATCTTAGTATCCATCTGATATTTAACAAACTTAAGCTTGAGGTAAAGCACTCCAGCAATACAGTTTAGTTGCTTCTAAACCCAGCTAAGTACGAAAGAGAAGCCTTTTAAAGTAACTGTACCACAACCATTTTTACTCTGCAGAAGAACTAGCTACAGGAAAATTATTCTAAGCATGGTGTAGGCTAGATTCAGCCTTTTTAAGATTGTCTTGGAACAAGTTCATTGAACTTTAAAGATGACAATTTCAGAAACAATCAATTGTAATTACTAATACTTACTTAGTAAGATGCCGACATAAAACATCCTTACAAATGGGCTGTTCAGCCAAAGTCAGCCAAAACTCACAGGCCTCCAAAGCCACATTTTCATCTTGGTCCTGGGTCCTTAGAAGCATGTACTACACAGTGCAAAAAGAAATTACTTGTGTAAGTTCTAGGTGACCAAAATAAACTACTAATGTTGGAAAGTGCGCCCATAAGAACCTGAAAATGTCACCACAGTATTTTTGTTTCTTTGGTAAGGTGGGAAGAAAGACTTAGGAGACTACGTGAGGCTATGGTGAGACTTCTTAATCCTATATGATTCAGACTGAATGTGTGCACTGCTTAAGTAAGAACATCATTACAAAGTAGATACAGACAAGAGACTCAACATAATTAAGTTTCTGGTGAACATAGAACGACCTCCCCTTCACTTCTAAATAAAAAGGTACAAGTATACATTTAAAATGGAAATACTTTTAAAAATTCCAATACTTTTACTTCCAAAAACCAACAATGTGCCAATCTGAATAAGTAGAACTTCCAACATGATAACAAATCAATAAACCGAAGTCTCAGAGTTTTCTAGCATGAATTTTCTAGCATAAACCCAGTATCAAATCTGTAAACTTGGAAGAAACTTTAACCATGCTTAAACAAAAATATAATGAAATACAAATATAAACAGAACGTCTAAGTATACCACTACTAAATCAGTTTCTTATGGACAACTGCCAGAACAATGCTACAAAGATGGTTGTGACAGCTGAAGTAGTAACTCTTACAATTTTCCATATTGTCACTTATTTCTGAAAAGGTTGGTTTCTTAGTATTAGAGCCTGCTGTAACATTTTTATCAATGATTTTGATGAGTGGATTGAGTGCACCTTAGCACTTAGTTCATAGACGATATCTAGTTGGGCAAGTGTTGAGCTGCTTGAGGCTAGGAAGGCTCTGCAGAGGGATCTGGGCAGGCTGTGTCAAATGGTATTCAACAAGGCTAAATGTTAGGTGCTACATTTCAGTCATAACAACCTCATGCAGTGGTACAGACTTGGGGAAAGGGCTGGGAAGTTGCCTGGCAGAAAAGGATACGGGAGCGCTGGTCAACAGTTGGCTGAACATGAGTCAGAAGTTTGCCAACCTGGCTAAGAGAGCCAATGGCATCCTGGTCTGTATCAGAAGCAGTGTGACCAGCTGGACTAGGGAAGTGATGGTCCCTATGTATTTAGCACTGATGAGATGCCACCTCAAATGCTGTGTTTAGCTCTGGGCCCCTCACTACAAGAAATACAGCTGCAAGAACACACTCAGAGAAGAGAAATGAAGTTGGTGGAGGGACTGGAAAACAAAACTTATGAGAAATGGCTGAGGGAATCAAGGTTGTTCAGCCTGGAGTAGAGGCTCAGGGGAAACCTTTTCGCTCTCTCTAAATGAAAGGAGGTTGCAGTAAGATGGATGTTGGTCTTGGGTGTTGGTCTCCTTTCTTAGGTGACAAGCAATAGGATGCAATGAGATGGTATCAAGTCACACATGGAAAGATTTATATTGGACATCAGGAGGAATTTCTTCACAGTGAGGATGGAAAGGCATTAGAAGAGGCTGCCTAGGGCAGTGGTGGAGTCTCCATCTCTGGACGTATTTAAGAGACATGTGGGTGTGGTGCATAGGAAGGTGAGTTAGGTGTGGACTTTGTAATGTCAGGTAGCTGGTTGGACTTGATGATCTTGAAGGTCTTTCTGGTCTTTCTCAAACTAAATTATTCTATGACTCATGATTCTAGAAGCCTCATAAAACTTGAAATAGAAAGGGATACATTTTTTTCCCCCCAACTGTTAACAAATACGTCTTTATCTGAAGAAAACAACAGGATGCAAGTAATCTTATGACTGCAGTACATTTCTTCATTATCTCTTCATATCATGAATACACTATTCATTTATTACAAGTAATCTCATTATGTTTTAAATCATTACAAAAATCAGACTTTCTATCCTATCCTATGATCCTGTGATCCACATATTTGGATAAATATCAGTCATAAGCATATAAGTTTAATTTAATAACTGAGAACCTAGGGTCTATTCCTGACAAAATCTGTTATAAAGTTTTCAGATAAAAACAAGAGAAATAGCTCTCCCATCTGCCTCTGCACCTGGAAGCGCATGCTAAAACAAAACAAAACCCAAACAAAACCATTCCTTTATGCTCCAAGAACTTGGCATAAAAATTAGCCCTAAACTTGCCTGTTTTAAAAGCACAATACTGCCCAAGATCTTCTGTATTAGAACCACTATTGGATCATTAATATTCTTAATAGTTTAAAAACTGATTTGCCATTAACATAAAGGCCATTGTGTGCATACAAGTTTGTCTCTTTTTAAGACCTCCTCACTTAATCAGAGCAGCCTCTATCTGCAGCATTCAGCTTAAAAACTGTCAACCTTCAAAGGGGCAAAAGCAACTTCACCTGAACGCTAAAAAATAGTCACAGTTATGGGGTATTACATCTGCACTCATCTAGATGTGTACAGAACTGATAAAAATCACTAACAGTACATGGTAGTCCCCTATTTGAAAAAAAAAAAAAAAGTCTAGTCTTTTTATTATAGAACATAAATTCACTACTACTGTATTTTGCAGAAAGGAAATAAAATAATAGTCTTTTCAACAACAAAATACCAGGTATAATAAGAATACAATCTTTGATTTTCTGTGTAGTGATACTACTAGGTCAATCTCCTCAAACGTGAGGAGAGGCTGCCCAGAACAACGTTTATATAGCTTTTTTTTTCTTGTCCTTTATGTGCCTGAAAACAGTTTCCAGGATGAGCTGCTCTATCATTTTTCCAAGGAAAAGCATTTCTTAGAAGTGCTTTTTATTTGTACTTATTTCTGCAACCCCAAACTAATTTCAGCATGCAACAAAGAAAATAAGACTCACCTCAACTATACTAATCATATGAGGAAGAAGACGATCCATGCGAACTTCCAGCAACATTACCAGAGCACGGCAAACATTTTTGCGTACCTCAGGCTCCTCATCAGTAGCCAGTGCAAAAAGATTCTATTGGAAAGCAGTACCATTTTATAAGTCTCACTTAACTTAGTTCGACTTGCATTTAAATTTACATTACTGGCAAACTAAAGTATACAAATATATAACTGTCACCATCCATTCCCATCTGAGAATACTTTGCTATTTCTTACAGATATTTTCTTTAAAGCAAATTATATTTTCAGACTCTCAGTGCACACAGTACACGCGACGAAACATTGGGTAATGGTAGAGATATTGGCATAAGAACATTATTTTCTGGCTTTTTCTTTTCCTAAAAGTACTAAAGCCATGCTTCAAGGCGCAACAGCTGCGCACCAAATACTTCAGATAAACGGAACTACCACCATTCTAGTTCATGTTCAGTACTAATACCTAAAGACACAGATTACCCAGACAGACAAAATGACATGATGACACTACTGCTGAACTCTCCATCACAGGTAGTGACAGACTGATGTTGTTACTGCTGCATCTTTATATGAATACATTTCCTCCGCTTACAAAAAGGAAATACGTTTCAAAAGGTATTTTTTATGCTGAGAGAGTATTTAGACCTATCAGCTTCAAACACAAGCATGCAAAATAAACTTGAAATCAAAGGGTGGATATAAAGCTAAGAACAGGAAGCCCAAAGTAACTGCAGCTAGAGGCAGAGACAGTTATAAAACACTATCTTAAACTCTTGGTAGGTCAGACATGCAATATGACTTAATCTTGCCTCTCCCAACAAAGAATGCTCACTCACCTCTATAAATGCATCTATGTGCATCATAAGAGCTTGAGTTCTGCTGATGATAAATTGATTGACACATGCAACAGCGTGAGATCTAGAAACAGAGCAGTTAGAATATACATTTTCTGTCACTTAAAGACATTTTCTAAACTGTACATAAATATAAAAAAAAAATCATTCAGAATCAAATCACACAATGAAAAATCACCTGGAGAGAAGACTGAAGAGCACACAGTACACCAGGTGTAGCCTCACCAATGCTGAGTAGAAAGGAAAGATCATGCCTCTTACATTCTGGTAGCACTTTGGCTAATGCAGCCTACTTACCTTCTTTGCAGTAAGGGAATATTGCTGGCTCATTTCAGAGTAAATGCCACTGTTTTTGTTGATAAACAACAGCAGTAGCAAGTAAATTCTGGCAACTTCCTATGCCATATTTTTTGCTATTTAGAACAGTTTAATACAGTATTCAAGTGAAAAGATGAACTCCTTTCATGGAATTACAGAATCAAAGGGGTTAGAAGGGACCTCTGGACATATGGTCCAACCTCCAATTTACAGTTTTCTAAGTTTTCAGACAGCTTAAAAAAGAAAAAAAACAGAAACTTTCTCCTGCAAGAATTCAAAAAAAAAAAAAAAAAGAGGTATTTTCACTCTCCCATTGCTGCAGTCATTACAAAACACATGAAACATGTAAGATAGTTGTTTGGTTTTTTTGTTTTGTTTTGTTTTTTGTTTTGTTTAATGATTCTGAACAAATAAATGTAAGAAGGCACAGAGATCTCGTGCACCAGTAACCATCATGCTGACCTACCTGGTTAATAGATCAACCCTCTTCACTCCCTTATACATCTTTTAAATCTACCATTAGTGTATGATATTCCACAACAAAGTCACTTTGAATATTATGAAAATTTAATGTGGTGGTTAGAGCGTAATACACTTAGCTTTTTAAAATCAGAGTAATTTAAGCAGATCTATAAAACACCTATGTCTCTGCTCATATTTTAACAAGGATCTGTAGTACCACATTTTAAACCTACCTTATTTTTGGACTGCTGTGCTTGAAGAACTGTAAGAATTTAGGTATCATGATATTGAGTGGTCGATCTAATACATCACTATCTAAAATTTCAGCAGAATCTTCACATATCTTCTGAAGAGCCCCAAATGCACCCTGTTTAAAAAACAAGCCATACACTTGCTGTTTCACATTCTGTAGGAAGCAACATTTCAGAATATACAATTTCAAGACAACACTACAGTAATTGTAGTGATCTAAATTTGAAGCAAAATTGAAACATACTTATAGGCCTTTTATTTAATATTTTACACCTTGATCTGTAAGATGTCAAGATGGTCAAATGGCTGATAAGTGCTAATTTAATTTTAGCTTTCAATGCTCATCTGTTCAATTGTTTTTAAAAATGCTTAAAACATAGTTCCTTTTTGTCTTGCAAAAACAGCATCAGAACACTACATAACAGCATGGCACACCGGACCAGCCTTTTCATCAAAAGGTTTATTTTATACAAAACGCTTCACAAACTTATGGAGACAGCATCAACTAACTAAATTTAAATCTAAATTCATATATTTTTATTTTTTTAAAAATCAGTCAATACTTTTTTTCCTCCACAGTTTAAAACAGTTAGGCTGGTATTCAATTATTTTCCTTCATACACACTGAAAAAAAAAAGTTCACACTAGCCTGAAATAGAGTATCAGATCATGTTTCCAGATGACGCTGTATGAACAATGAACAAATTATGTGTTTAAGTAAGAAAATTTGAGGTCAGTATGATGAAGATTTACTTAAACTATTAGGCACCCCAGACAGGATACTTACAGATGTCTTGACAATTCATCTCCATCCTTAATTTTGCTTTTATGCAAAACAAACAAATTCATTTTAATGAATGCTAACAAGGCATGAAAAGTAGAGTAAGTGTCTAACTTGAGCCACTGTTATCAGAAGAGACCATAGATGTATGCACATACAGGCACAAAATAGTGTTAATGTGCACTGTATCTATGAAGAGATAAAAAATGATCGATTTCAGATGACAATCTGTTTTAGAATAAGTCTTCTTACCTCACAAGTATTGTAGTCCTCTGAATCTAAGAGACTGCAAAGCTTTGGTAAAAGTTCAGGCCAATTCTGTAATTCTCCTTTTGAAGCAATGGTTGTTATCAGAATACCTAAGTGAAAAAGAGGAATGAGGGAAATGAGATCTAATTTTCTCAGGTTTCATACTTATTCTTTTTTTCTTTTGTCCTCTTCTAAAATAACAAAGGAATTAAGAAATAGCAAACATAAAAAGAGGAAGTACATTTAATTACAAATAGTATTTGAAAGGCTATCAAATGCAAAGGATAGTTGTGCCTTCCTCTCACCACAAAGGGCTCAAGATGTGAGAGCAGTTCCAATTAAGGAAACAATCATGCCCAAACACTAAGACAGGTTTGGCTGTAAATTTACTAAACACAGTATGCACTTAAGACACCTCTTATTATGTTATAAAAGCATGAACACAAGACGTGCATCAGATTTGTTGTCATTCAATGAACTTAAAATCCAGTAGTGAAGCTGAGAACACACAACTTAAGGACATTTACACCAAAATTATGGAAACATGCTAAGACTAAAATACTTAGATAGAGCTTGCACACTATGGCAGGTCATCCACTGATCAGCTCTAGAGGCTAGCTGATTCAGATCCAGCAAACAAACAAGACAGCCCAATTAGTCACTAATTCCATTTCCAGCACACAGAGAAAACCCAGAAAAAAAACTGAATTAGGAGAAAGGAACACAGAAAGCTCCCTAGGTACTGTCTTTGTAGAAGACAAAATGAAACAGGTAGCATAATTTTCACTGACACAGACATTTATCTCTACTAAGTACAAGCACTAAAGAATGTGGTATTACTACAACTAATAGTCTTCCAAGTGAGAACTTCTCGTTTCCTAAGAACTTAAATTGAACTAATCACCAAATGTCATCTTCCTTTGGATAAAATGTTAAAATTCTTATTCAATAGACAAGAACATAGGTCAATTTTACAGAGCAAGAGATTTTCTTGGAATAACATAAGGTAACTGAAGAAATTTTGCATCATGCTTCCATGGAAGCAATGAGGCCGGAAAAACTAAGAAGGCAACAGGCAAATAAAAATTGTGAGAGATAAAAAACAACTATACAGCTCACAGTACTTATTTATATACAGCTTTTTTTCATAACTGCAGCTGAAGAGAAAAGGTTCCTGTAAGTCTGCACAGGGACCTCTGGGTCCACCCAGCCCAACCCCTGCCCATGCAGGAGCACCCAGAGCAGGATGCCCATACCCCAAACATCTAAGATCTCCAAGGAGGAGGCTCCACAGCCTCTCTGGGAGACCAGAGAGGTCACTGCTCTGTCACCAGCGCAGTAAAGAAGTTCCTAGTGTTCAGGAGGAACTGCCTGTGTTCCAGATTGTAACCACTGCCCCTTGTCCTAGCACTGGGTATCACCCAAAGGAGCCTGGCTTCAGCCTCTTTGCATTCTTAGCTATTTATATACATGAATGATATTCCTCCTGAGCCTCCTCTTCTTCAGGAGATCAGTCTTTTCCCTTTCCTCCAGTCCTTTAATCTTCTTGGCTTTTTGTTGGACTGTATGTCCAGGTCTGCCTTGTTCTAGAGGGTATAGAACTGCACACAGCACTCCAGGCGCTGGATAGAGGGGAAGGATCACCTTCCTCAACTCGCTGGCAATGCTTTGACTAATGCAGCCCAAGATATATTAGCCTTCTTTTCTGCATGGTCAACTTGCTGACTCACATAATTAAACAGAACTTCACAAAAAGAACAAAATACATCAATGCTCTTGAACCCAGAGAAAGTACTTACATCACAAAACTGTCTCCCTACATTAGAACTGGCACAGATTAGTAGAATTAACATGGGTTCAGAAGCAAACATACAAACAAAATTCCTGAAACTCCACTGGACCAACAAGAGAGAAAAGTCACACGTCAAGCCTTAAATGGGTTGGTAGTTTTGGAAAGGTCCTAGAAGTGCTTTCAGAGGGCAAGCAAATGGAAAACTATAAGCATTTTTCAGAAAGGCTTATTCCAGACAGGGATAACTTAAGAGGAAATACGTTGAGACATGCAGGAAAGAAGCAACTTAAGGCCACTGCTCCATACAACAGGGGCACACATAGTTGAGGCCATACACGTCATTACGAGCTTTCTGTACAGGTCTGCAGAGAAGCCATTTAATGTTGTGTCAGTTTGGTTTTGTTTTTCCATTTTTAAATTATTAAAAGAAACTAGTGGGGACAAACTAAAAAACAGGCTATCAAGTACTCGCAGAGGCAAAGACTATATAACATATGAAGTTTTGCAAAAGGTTTTAAGAATAATGAGGAAACAGGCATAGGAATTACGTTTTAGATAATTACGTTCACATTACACAAAATCTACATGGACTTCTGATACATTTTATCTCCTTTCCAATATGAAACATCTCCTGCTCCTCCTGCTTTATTTGGCCGTTAGGGAACAGAGGACACCAGATATTAGCCTTAGTCATTCCTCTGTGATACTAAGTCACAGAAATCTGGACACCAGATGAATAACCAAATTAAATAAATGCTCAGCTTAGCAGTTTCTGACTTCTGATGTATTTGAGCAAGAGCTGACATCTAAGGGAACCCTTCCTTCTCACCAACAACCTAAGCAGCAAGGTTAGAAATCTGAAAGTAAAAATCTTTACAAATATTCTCTTTGATGTCTAACAAAATTCAAATCAGTATTACAGAATCTTTTGCTATATCACTTGACAAATAGGAAACTTAACGAACACAGTTATTCAGCTACGAGAGCACCAAGCATGTGAGAAACTCCAGAGGAAATGTCAGACATTGTTAAAAATGAAAGTGTCATTGTCACCTCTTTCCTCACTATTTCAACTACAGGCAACCCTACTTTATAGCATCAACACTAAAATTAAAAAAAATAAAAAATAAAAAAAAAGAACACAAAGAAAAAGCAGCTAAGCTCCATACTTTAATGAAAGCAGCAGGGAAAGGCTGGGTTGCTTCTGTTTTGCTTCATTTTGGGTAGTACTTTGCCTCTGTAGCTCTTAAAATTTTATTTCTAAAATCCTTAATCTAAAAATCTAATTTCATGGCAAAATCACATCCCTGATACAACCATGTGCCTTCATTTCCCTTCTGCAGTGAAGCTTCTTCAGTCCTGCCACTACTCTCATCAATCTATTTTGCCTGTTAACTTTTAAGCAGGGCCTGCCTAAACTAGAATCCCAGTGAAGATTTAAGAACTGTCATAATCATCCCCAAGATAGATGCATTCATTTCCTAGCAAGTTTGTGAATCCTCAACATATACAGCACTCATTTTAAAATTTGAATCCACACTGGCATGAGGGTTTTTAAAACCTGTGCCACATCACACAGAGAAGTTTCACATTGTTACTCATTTAGGGCTTAAGAACAGGGAAATGGTAAATGGTGGAACTGATCAGCTTGCCTCCATCTTGGTCATAAGTGTTAGCATTTGTCTGGATAGCACCAGATGTGAGAGACCAGAAAAGGAGTGAAGGCCACATTACTTCTTCTCTGACGCTATTCCAAGGCTGCTGTTTTTGCTTGTCTTCCTCTCAGAATTCCAGAGATCCTATTTATGGGTGATCCATTAAATTAACTGTGCCTGAACAGCAAAAACCTATATGCACCTCTGACTACAAAATGCCAACAAGCAATGTGATAGGTAGCAAAATATTTACATGTAGGTGACATCAAGATGCTGGTGGGTACTGGACAGAAGTCAGGAGGATCCGACATTTATTTCATATGGGAATGTACACAGCAGACAGTAAATAGGAATCCTTATGTAAGCATACAGATCAACAGTTGATACACATCTTCTGAGATCATACATGTCTGAATACTCCCTGCAAGGATCACTTAAAGCTCAATAGTAATTAAACAACCCACAAACAATTCCTACTAGAAGAAATCAAAGAAGAATAGCTTGGAAACAACACAGAAAAAAAGCCCCCAGACCAAAAACAAAGAACTAACAGTAACCACCAAATCAACAAACAACCCTAAGACAGCAATCCAAATGGTGTTAGAATATTTTCCTTGGTCAGTTCCACTGTACTACACTAACAATTCCTCTGAACTGACAAATAGGACTCTTACAATCAAAAAGTACAAAAATATGTGCAGACTTCTTCTACAGCTACTAAAGAAATTAGGCAATGTAAACATCTAGTAGAGTAGCTTCAAAAGTTATATGAGACAGCAAAAAAAAAAACCAAAACCCTAAGAGATAGGCATTTTTCAATAGTCCAAAGTAAATAATCCAGATGTCCAAAGAAGCAATCCTATATAGAAGCAAAAGAAAAGAAAGAATTCTAAGGGAGTGACTGGTAGATTATTTTGCATGCTGAGCCAGCAGAAGTCGGGTGACATGAGCTGAATTTTTTTTTTTTTTTTTTTTAAACTGGAGCCCTCATCTGTTTTTTTCTTTTGTAACCAAGTTTGTCACTACTGCTTATTCTACCTTTTTTTCCTACTTTTCAGAGAAGACAGAGAAAAGTACTGCAATGATTTTAATAATTAGTAGAAATCAAATTCACAGTGAACAGGCAGAAAAGCAACTCTACCTGGAAATAAACAACAATGATGCAGACTTGCACTTTTTACATTGGAAGTGCACTAGAACTGCTAGGAATTCAAAAATTCATGTAGCAAAAATAATAATAATAAAAACAAACAAACAAACTAACCTAAACACACTCTTTTAGCTGATATTCTGATATGCTCAAATTATCTACTGTTTTCTGACAGAAGATGTTTAAAAGGAAAAACTCGTTATCTGAATGCATGCCATACACAGTACAGTAATTTTAACAATTCCCCTGACAGTGTGTGCATGTGCATATGTGGACTTGGGAGAGGGAGAAGGAAAGCATCTGACAGAAATGTTTCATTGATACAAGTGAAATGCTGAAGTAATTCTGCAGTCAAATTCTTACCCTATTTATCTTTTCAGGTACAAAAACTGGCAACGAGTTTAAAAAAGTAGAGTTTTAGTAGAGACAAGAAAACTTAGTTATATTCCTATAGACATGAACTGAATTGGTAAATCAACTTAACAGGAAGCAAAAATGACTTTCATATACTGAATCTAAATATCAGCATCAGAACACTGTGAAACTGTAACAATTATCAGAAGAAAACAGCTTTAGGAGTTTAATAACTCTTTAGTTCACTAGTGAAGCTCCAATTTAGACAGTCTATATATTGAAAATATAACTGATATCAACAAGGGCAAACTTACCTACGGTAGCTCTAATTAAGGGAGAGGAATCACCAATGTTGTTCAGACATTCACTTTTGATGAAGTCAGTTACCCCATTCGGGAAGTTGTGAAAATGTGCTTTTACATTATTCTTCAAGATGAGACCACTCAAGGAACGTGTTGGTTCATCTGCAATAGAAAGTAAATTGCATTCAAACTTTGATTAGTTTGTAGGATATGGTAAATTTGCACAGCAATGCAACAAGAATAAAACTTATAGTGAGATATGAATCTTTATTTCCTTATACCTCCCACCAACTACCTGCCAATTCATGTAACAAAGCTTTTTAGGTTCAGAATTCAGTATTTCTGATTATTCAAAATTGAAATATCAGTATTGCCTAGTCAACATATTCAAGTTTTCTATCGGCAAGGAATACATCTTAATTTGCAAGGTATAGGAGACTCATACAAGAAATGGTTAACTGAAGATATTCAAATATTTTGATTATACTGACAGGTTTGTTCTAATACTGTTACTGTAAAAGTTGACGACTACCCAGTTTTCACCAAAATAAAGCCAACACATCACATAGGCACTGTGCAGTAAGTTCTCCGACCTCTAACCTGGGCAAGACATAAGGATGTTCAAATTTCCTTTGCATGAAGAATTAGAGCTTGCGCAAGATATATTTCAAGCTTTCAAAACTATTAATATCCAAACAGAAGTAATGCTAAGCAAAATAAGAGATATATCTTTCAAAAATAAGGTGTTTCAATACTGAAGTTATTGCATCACAAATACTAGGACTCAGAGTACACCCATGGTGTCTGACTGCTAGTAGGAAAAGTAATCTATTGTGATCTCGGCTAGTTAAAATAAAAGCAGTACTCAGAAATGAGGGTTTTGTTCAGAAATTGAAGTTCATTTTAACCAGCTGATTTTATCTGAGCTCCAAAACCAGAAAACCGTCACATACTCCTTAATCTACTTTCTACATTCATATTTTCTTAAAGAAGCATTGTTTTTCACATTCCATAACTATAAACATAGTCATTTACAAACACAGCTTCAGAAAGTTGAATAGCTTTGTAATCCAGGAAGCAATGTTCTACATGCATACTTGAAAGAATTCTGTAACTTCATCCATAGTATGTTTTTTAAATACCTATCAACCTCTAAACAATGCAAAAATAAACACTGTTGCACTGTATTTTGGAAGATTGGGGGAAAAAAGGGGCTAAAAGGGGTTGTTATTTTAAATTAAACTGCTAGAAACTGGATGAGCAGACAGACTTTGAACAATCACAGAACTTGCTTATGAGCTGTGGCAAACAGTAGTAGCAGTATTAAACAGTATCAAATTGAATAATTTCATTATTTTGTTCAAAGTTTTGAAATTGCCATCACTGAGGTTCTGATGGAGAATGACCAAATGAAAGAAATTCTCAGTTGAACGCCTGATCAGTCTCAGGTTTGACTCACTGAACTAGAAGGAAAATCTCTACATCTACTATTACATCAATTTAATATGTCCAACTCTGATTGCTTTACATAACTAATCCATTGATAACATATCTGCAAAAAATCCAATCCTCCAAAAGTGATTAAAAAGTCTAACTAGAATACTAGACTACTTTTCATAATGAGTATTTATTCAATCCACTTGCAACAAAGATCTCAGTGGATTCATACTGAAAGTTACGTTTCTGTCAAATGACAGAGAATTCAACAAGCAACAAAAGGCAGGAAGATTAAAAACAAAAATCCGAACGAATCACCACCTTGCTGAAGTAGCAAGCAGAGATCACGAATACAGGCTAAAGAAACTGCTAATTAGGCTCAAACTACGTGAGTTAAAGCAGCAGCACAGAATCGGATACTCAGGCATTTCTAAAACCACACCATAGTCAGAATCTGAGTTTGAGAATCTGAGTATTACATGACTGCAAAAAGATATTTACGGAATCCAGAGTGTTTAACAGCCTAACAGCTACATTATCAGAAAACAGTAATATAGGTCTAGATGAAGTTTTTTTCTGTAACACCAGTATTACAGGCAGATGGCCTAAGAGCTGAATAAGACTCTCTTTAGTCTTCCGAGATTCTGTGATAAATTCTGTCAGCCATATGTTTCAGCCATCAAAGAAGATCACAGTCTTGCCTCCTTCTATCTTAGTCAACCTTCAAGTATAGAATTGACGAGAACATATAGTACAAGAAAAAAAGGAATGTACAAGAAAAAAGGAAAGTGAAGCAGACTTCTGGCATTTGATAGCATCTTTGGTGCCAAATAAATTAATCAGTGGAAGAATCCCCCTCTCAACACACTTCGCTTTACAATAAAACTGTATCAATCATGCAATCCCCAGTAGATTTTCAGCTCTGTTTAACCTTAGCACTAGTTCAAGGTTTTAATGTCTCACAGAATTGATGCATACCTGCTAATTTTAAGACTACAACTGTGTTTTTAAGAACTACGGTACATTCTCAAACCCTACCTCTAATCACAGCCTGTATGATGTAAGTACATATGTGAAAGCAGTGATGCTTTTGTAGTACACTTGAAAGTCCAAGCAAGCTAATAAAAATACAACAGCACAGAAAACATATGAAATGCTTCACAATATAAAGCCATGTATAATTTCTTACTCCCTTCAGTAAAATATTTAGAGTAGGCATAGGTACTGTATCCTACTTGAGTGGAAAAGATGTCATGCATCTAAGTATCAGTGGATGTTTATTTCACCCATTGTAAAAGTGAGAATGGAAAAATGGTGTCTCCTATTCGTGAGGATAGGTGCTGGAAGACACCATGACCTCTTTGCAGACCATCAGAAGGCAGACTTGTTGTTAAGCATAACAATGATGTCAGAACAGTTTCAGTGTGTTACCCTGTAGTGATGAAACAAGCGCAATTGATTAGCTCACCACCTTCATGAAGCCAAATCTAACCTTATAGAAAAGGAATCACTTCTCTTGGTCTACTTGCAATAGTTACATGCAAATAAGAATGTCTTTCCCTTAGCACTAAGTAGGAGTTGAACCTAGGAAAAACTGCCTCCAATAATGGTATCCACAGTATTATTCCTAGAGCTGAGTATCTTTCCAAAAAGCAATCTGAAAAGCCGTATAAAAATCACAGAATCGTAGGGGTTGGAAGGGACCTCCAGAGATCATCGAGTCCAACCCCCCTGCCAAAGCAGGATCCCTACACCAGGTCACATAGGTAGGCATCCAGGCGGGTCTTGAATATCTCCAGAGAAGGAGACTCCACAGTCTCCCTGGGCAGCCTGTTCCAGTGTTCCATCACCCTCACCGTAAAGAAGTTCTTGCGCACATTGGTGCGGAACTTCCTATGCTCCAGTTTCTGGCCGTTTCCCCTTGTCCTGTCTTCACACACTGCTGAAAACAGTCTGGCCTCGCCACTCTGCCCCCCACACCTTAGATATTTATTGACCTGGATCAGGTCCCCTCTAAGTCTTCTTTTCTCAAGGCTAAACAGACCCAGTTCACTTAGCCTTTCTTCACAGGGGAGATGCCCCAGGCCCTTCACCATCTTTGTGGCTCTCCGCTGGACTCTTTCCAAGAGATCCCTGTCTTTTTTGTCCTGGGGAGCCCAGAAATGGACACAGTACTCCAGATGAGGCCTTACCAGGGCAGAGTAGAGGGAGAGGATCACCTCCCTCGACCTGCTGGCCACATTCTTTTTAATGCACCCCAGAATGCCATTGGCCTTTTTGGCCACAAGGGCACACTGCTGGCTCATGGCCAACCTGTTATCCACCAGGACACCCAGGTTCCTCTCTGCAGAGCTCCTACCCAACCTGTACCAGTGCATGCAATTATTCCTCCCCATAAAAATGTGTCCTAACCCCACAGATACCTAACGCTAATAAGAACTGACGTCAATAACTAGCTATGAATAACTCCTGTTTTTGAAAAGCATTTTAAAACTCCCTTCTCCTCTTTTCAAATGGCAATCTTTGCTCTTCAGAACCACAACAAGACTTTACTCTGCTGTGCCTTCTAATTTTAGAAGATACTGACGTACAACAACATCAAGACCGAGCTCTTATGTTCCAATAATGGCTGAAGATTGCATTCCACTCATCACTAGCAGCATAGTCCTCCAGTACCTGAATAAGTTATTCTTCCCTACTGAAATTACCTGCTTCATCAGAAGCGGCACAGATTGACCGTTCAAGCAAGTACAGCACAGATATTTATTTCAGTAATTCCAAGAAAGAAGCATTCACATAAACTTCAAGTGATTAGAATGGATGTTCCCTTAACCAGAATATCTGCTACTGCTCAGTAATTCTGATCGGCAAGCTTTAAGCCTTTTAAATTTTTTAACCATTCCAGAGCAAGCTCAGCATGAGCCAGCACAGTGCCCTGGCAGCCATGGGGCAAACCACACTTGGGGTGCATCAAATACAGTGTAGCAAGCCAGTCAGAAGATGTGATTCTCTCACTGTATTCAGCACTGTTACAGTCTCACCTTGAGTACTGTGTGTAGTTCTGGGCTCCACAATATAAAAAGGATGTTAAGATACTTGAAAGCACCCGAGGAGGGAACATGGGTGGTAACAGGACTGGAGGGCACATCTGTGAGGAGAGGCTGAGGACACTTGTATTGCCCAGCCTGGAGAAGAGGAGGCCGAGAGGACCTCAGTGCTCCCTGCAGCTCCCTGAGGAGGGGAATAGAATAGAATAGAATCACTCACGTTGGAAAAGGCCTTAAAGATCATCAAGTCCAAACACAAACTAACCATACTGCCCTAACTCTAACAACCCTCTGCTAAATCATGTCCCTGAGCACCACATCCAAACAGTTTTTAAAAACATCCAGGGTCGGTGGCTCAACCACCTCCATGGGGACCTATTCCAGTGCTTAGCAACCCTTTCTGTAAAGAAGTGTTTCCTGATATCCAACTAAATCTTACCCCGGTGCAACTTGAGGCCATTTCCCCTCGTCCTGTCACCTGTCACCAGTGAGAAGAGACAACTTTGCTCACGCTGTAAGCACTTTTCAGATATTGGAAGAGAGCAATAAGGTCTCCCTTACTTTTGGGAAGCAGCGGTGGTGCCAGGTTCTGCTCCTGGGAACTGAGGCAGATAACAGCACAGAACTGCCAGAGGGACAGTCAGGCTGGGCACTGGGAAATATTTCTGAGCTGTGAGG